AATAAAATGTTTTTAATTGTGTACCAGTTTAACGTTGAATACTATCTATGATTTTAACTTTATACACAAGTGAGAAAATACTATAAATATCGATTTTATTTTTACGATAAATAAACAGATACGTAAATTGTTTCTGTCATCTGCGCTGCCATCTTTAGTGCAGTTTTTTAATAGTGTGTTTAATTAAGATTACCGAGATCAAATATTAATTATTTTATTTAAAAAGATGTATTTATAATCAGCACATAGTATTTAGTGCAAAGAAATAAAAAACACATTTAAATTGAAATAACTTTTTGGAATTTTTATTTATTTATTTTACAAACATGAAACGTACTTCTCGATAAAGTCTCGTCACCATGATCAGCTTAGCTACACATTGCATCATTTTCTGACTAATTGCTAATCTCTAACTATGTGGTTTAAGCCTACTTTTTGGAATGATAAAAAATAAGATTTTCGTGAGTGTAAATTTCAGTACTCTAAACTAAGTAAAATTTACTTCAAATCTGAAATTTGTGCAATTTTTGAACACTTATAACAGAGTTATGTTTTATTTTAAACTACAAACCTGAATGTACGCTCCTTGACCCCAGTAAAATCACTTGATTGGGGTCAGTCAGGAATAACTTAAACAACAGATGTAACTGTCCGAAAATTGCAAACTATCCAGTTTACAGTACGAGTTTAAAAGAAAATAAGTATGAAATATTTCAAAGTTCTTTTATCTCTTTTTCAACTTTATAAAAAGTGAAAAGATAATTATAAACGATAATTGAAACAGTTGGTTGATTCTCAGGAAGTTGTGACACACAAAATCTACATGGTGTCCAACGTTAATATTACTTAAGGTTTTCCCTAAAGGTAAAATAAAGACTGGGTGTATATTTGTTTCCTTTCCGAAGTAGAAATTATGACACATACAACATACATGGTGTGAAACAACAGTATTATTTAAAATGTTTCATAAAGGTAGGAGAAAAAACTGGATGTAAATTTTGTTTCCTTTCTAAGTAGAAACTGTGACACATACAGCTTACATGGTGTTAAACAACAACGTTATTTATAATGTTTCATAAAGGTAGGAGAAAAACTGGATGTAAATTTGGTTTCCTATCTAAGTAGAAACTGTGACACATACAACATACATGGTGTTGAACAACAACGTTATTCAAAATGTTTCATAAAGGTAGGAGAAAAACTGGATTTAAATTTGATTTCCTATCTAAGTAGAAACTGTGACACATACAGCATACATGGTGTGAAACAACAACGTTATTTATAATGTTTCATAAAGGTAGGAGAAAAACTGGATGTAAATTTGGTTTCCTTTCTAAGTAGAAACTGTGACACATACAACATACATGGTGTGAAACAACAACGTTATTTAAAATGTTTCATAAAGGTAGGAGGAAAACTGGATGTAAATTTGGTTTCCTTTCTAAGTAGAAACTGTGACACATACAACATACATGGTGTGAAACAATAACGTTATTCAAAATGCTTCATAAAGGTAGGAGAAAAACTGGATGTAAAATTGATTTCTTTTCTAAATAAAAACTGTGACACATAAAACATAATATTATTGTTTTATGGCATATATTTAAAATTTGGTGTTGATTTGAGTTTCTTTCTAAGTAGAAGCTGTGACACACAAAACGTACATGCTATCAAAGAATAACGTTATTAAAAAATGTCCCTTTAGCTAATAAAGAAAGATCTAAATTTAATTTCCTTTATATACAACAACTGGATATTTAAGATAATAACAGCTATATAATTTCATTATTTAAATACCTATGCGACAACAAAAACAAGAAAAAAAACCCCACAGAATCGACGACAATTTAACTTATCAAACGTCTGATTCCACTGAAGAACCAGTGTATGATAATCTTTAGTCTCGTATATGATAATCTTTAGTCTCGTATATGATAATCTTTAGTCTCGTATAAGAATAAAGCAAACGCTCGTATTTCCTATAAATAAGGAATATTTAGTTCTAGGTTATGAATATTTTATAATTAATATCTATGTGAGCTAGAATAATCACTATCAGGGGCGGATTTAAAGGTCAGCTAAAGCTCACCGGGTCCCTCTTTAGGCCGGGCCTATTTATATATATATATATATATTTAATGCTTTTTTTAGAAATACATTACTTTAACTCTATTACATTTCATTTTATTTATTAAGTTTATCTATTTATTCAGCTTTCTGTTGAAATTATTTCCTCCCCCCTTGATGTATAATATTGGTATGAATACATCCCGCCAGGCCTCATATTTTTTTAGCTGACTAGGCATTTAGGCTTAAATCTACCCCTGCTCACTATGACAGCGTACCTTCATAAGGTCTTTATTTACTTGAAATATAAAAACACATTTTCTCCCTCATCCTTTGTTACTTCCATTTTTTTATTCAAGATTTCAAGATATATAAAATAAAAAATTCAGTAGAGCAATCAAGACAAGCCAAGACAAGAAAACAATATTTAACGTGAACTAAAATTGTACACTCGAAACATGCTCGGCAGATATTTAGGATATCATAAACGCCCCACGGTGTCATAGCGATATGTCTGCAGACTTATAACGCTAGAAACCTGGTTTCGATTCCCGTGGTGCGCAGAGCAGAGATAGTCCATTGTGTAGCTTTGTACTCAACTACAAACATACAAAATGATACCGTAGACGTTTTGACTGCTGTTAATATTGCGTTTACCCGGGTAGGTATACTTAGAAGGATCGCTAATAGTCTCACGACGACGAAATTAACTGGCTGCCAAACTGACATCAAATAACAACAAGACACACGAAACTCGAACACTATCATGTAACATAGCTACTGGTATCATTTTGACCGTCCTCAAATCAGGCAGTGGGTGGCCACGTGTGCCACCTACAACCATGGGCTTTCGCAGAAATTTTTCCAGGGGGATGGGTGGGGGTAAAATTGTGTGAAATTGTGAAGTGAATAAAAAAAAACTTGTACATACGCGGAATGAATAAAGAAATAATTATGTTTATCATTTTTCCAGGGGGCAAGTGCCCCTTGTCCCCCCCCCCTGCGGACGCCCATGCCTACCACACACATGCAACTAGAATAATAATATATAACATAGTTATTAATTCTTAGTGCCTTGACTTGTACCGTTGGTACAGTCTTCTTTAACGTAGGAATCAAAATCATGCTGCAGTGGACAGGCACGAGGGAACCGCCCACAACAACACATGCAACTTGATACAACAACATGTAGCGTGTTTAGTACCGTGACTGCTGCTAGGATTGCAACGTTTCGGAAACCGTGTACATATATATATATACGTTTTGTTTTGTAATTAATATGCATGCTCATTCAACCCAGCAAAAAATTATTAGGATTTTGCTTGTCCTTGCAAATAAGTTACAAATAACCACAGGTATCGAACTACGATTTTTAGCGTTATAAGCCTTCAGTCTTACTGCTGCGCCACTACTTAACAGGCAACCAGAAAGTGTACAAGTCTCTCAACAGAATAATCTAGAATGTACTGGTTAATTATTAATTTCTGTTACTTTTCATTGAAGCTGCTACCTTCAGACTTACTGCTGCGCCACTACTTAACAGGCAACCAGAAAGTGTACAAGTCTCTCAACAGAATAATCTAGAATGTACTGGTTAATTATTAATTTCTGTTACTTTTCATTGAAGCTGCTAAACATAACAGAATCTGTTTGGAGTATTTTCTGTGAGAATCTTTTACTGTCACTGGTAAAGTTATGAGCAGTTGTTTCTGTTGTGCGGTGGAATTTTATTTCGAAAACTATCTAGAAATAATTGTAGCTACGATTCCCGTTTTGTTCACAATGCCTCATATTATATATATATATATTGCCGGCCCCCCCCCCCAAGAGACACAGCGGTATGTCTGAGGACTTACAACGCTAGATACCGGGTTTCGATACCCGTAGTGGGCAGAGCACAGATAGCCCATTGTGTTTGTTTGTGCTTAACTTCAAACAAACAAACAAATATATATTGCGAACCGTGGTGTCTGTCCGAGCGTTCGTCTGTCTCCCGTTTGAAAAGCTGCGCACGCAGGCAAAACGCAACATTCACTTTTGAAATGACGTTAGAACAGGTATGAATAATCTTGAAGCTAAATTTTGTTTCGTAAGCAGGATATGCTAATGGGCTCTGTATGAAAATTCGTATTATAATTTGCCCCCTATGGGCGTTTTTGTCTCTGTGTGGATAGATATAAAAATTTATCTAATACCTTTGTATGTTCAGAGAGGAAACACAGAACTGTCTTACACGATTCACAGTAAGCAGAGTAAAGGAATGCTTTGAGAGTCTATGAAGGGCAAGTCAGTTGATGGCCCATATACTATAAAATGAACTTTGAGACAATTTTCGACAGCTGTGCCTCACGATCCAAATGTTAAACGACGATTGGCTGGTTTGTACCGTGAAGAAGCTGCCTTCGATTTGAAAACCCAATCTTACATCGTTTGACGTAGAAAACTGGCTGATAGGTTAAGGAGGTATGGTAACGAAGAACCAGCGAAGTTATGCACAGGTCAAGTTAATCTCAGCAGCTTAAGCATAAAAATGAAGGTAAGGTCTATTCATGACAAAACACCACACAGTATGCCACCAAAAGCTATGATGCATGAATGTAAACATCAACGGTACACCACCACTCTATAACTGAGTTGGTGTAAGGATAGAAAAAAAACGTTAAATAACTTTACTTAATGTGGGATTCAATCAACTCCATTTGAAGGTTTCAAGAGACTCCCGAAGGACATAGTTATAGTGGCTGAACCTGTGAGGGAAAAGGCCACAGAAGGCAACACGGCAGAGTCGAGAAAACAGAAATTGCATAACCACATTGACACTGGAGAAATGAATACAATTGATGAAGAGTTAAGCCAATTTCAGTACAATACACGTAACAAGGTAGAAGCTGACATACACAAAACGAATTATGACGTAAGGAAATCATGACTAGAGAGAAGTCTATCAGATGTCAGAGAAACATCTCTTAACAGGCAAACAGTGGATCGTGAAAATCTACACTATGTCCCTGTAGTAGTTTACCAGATTATGCAAGTCTTTGCTTTTATGTTCAGGAGTGATGAGGCCTTTCTTGGACCATGGAAATATGAGGACTTCCTTGGATCATTAAAATATGAGGCCTTCCTTGGACCATGGAAATACGAAGCCTTTCTTGGACCATGGAAATATGAGGCCTTCCTTGGACCATGGAAATACGAAGCCTTTCTTGGAC